AAAAAAAAATGTCTGATTGAAAATAAACAAAATAAAACCCTTTAATGAACTTGTATATAACCATATTTATCTGTAAATTCACATAGTTATAAGAAGAAAACTCCCTGTTTTCACAAAGTTTCACTTTTGATTAACAGTACACCTGTCCAGAATGTCATTTCCCCGGTGTCAGGACTGTCTGATTTCCCATTACAAAATTAAATCTGTGGAAACAGGGAGTTTCCTTTTTTAGAGCCATCCAAATTCACAGGCAAAACAGGTAGTATATGAGTTTTGGGGGGGGCTTTTATTTTGTAATGCAACATCAGATCGTCCTGAATCTGGCTGAGGGACACCCTGGGGTACTGTACTATTAATCAGAATAGAAATTAGTCTGTGGAAACAGGGAGTTTCCTTTTTAGAGCTATTCAAATTCACAGGCAAAACAGGTAGAATATGAGTTTTTGGGGGGCTTTTATTTTGTAATGCAACATCAGATCGTCCTGAAACTGGTTTAGTGACTCCCAGGGGTAGTGGACTAATAATCTGAATTGAAATTAGAGGAAATTGAAGAAGAAACAAAGTCACCTACATCTTGGATGCCCTGGGGGTAAGCAGATAAACACCAAATTTTCATTTTTGGGTGATCTATCCCTTTAATAGACTATGGCTTACTTTAAATGAAGTACACTTTCTAAAAAGTATTTTTGATGTCATGGATTTTTCACGGTTTTGTGTGTCATAGAGAAGCATAGGGTACTTTCCTGCTCCTGAAATGAATATTCGGTTATCTGTTTATTCAGCGGAACCGCGCACAAACCGTTCAGGAGCATAGACATGTTTAGGTAGATGCCACATTGGACTGCTCCACACAAGTCGACGCGTCCGCTATTTTGGAACGGTCGATATGTCGTCACTCAAAATACAAATCAATGAGTTTCAAAGATGCTAGAACGTTGCGCAGCCTCTGGATGTAAAAACCGATTAAATGTAAATTCCTGAAGAAACTAGATAAGCTTTCACAGGTAAGAATGTGTTGTTGTTTTTAATATAGGTATTAACCCCCCCCCCGCAAACGCGACATGGTACGATCCACGATCTGTCAATGGACGCCAAGCTTTCGCTTTCACGCGCTAGTTATGATTACATGTCAAACTCTCATTATATATACGGTGTTTAAACGGTATGCTCAGGATTTCTAGTAAATGAATTCTCTATGTATTCAGCGGAACCGCGCACAAACCGTTCAGGAGCATAGACATGTTTAGGTAGATGCCACATTGGACTGCTCCACGCAAGTCGACGCGTCCGCTATTTTGGAACGGTCGATATGTCGTCACTCAAAATACAAATCAATGAGTTTCAAAGATGCTAGAACGTTGCGCAGCCTCTGGATGTAAAAACCGATTAAATGTAAATTCCTGAAGAAACTAGATA